AGTCGAAGATTCGAGTTCTCGTACTCTACTGCTGGTAGAGTTATATGACCCTGAGATAAGCTTCAAGCATTTTCGTTGGATACTTCGCAATGGTTTGACTATCCTTTCTGGTTTTTTACCCGCTGGCCCAACTGCAGTCCATATAGAACACCCATAAGTCAGGGCTGGTCTCACTATCGTGCTGTACAAAAGCCTTGACTCCTTGAGTGTTATACCCCAAGTTGACTGTACTTGGGTATGTGACTTTTTATTGGATATGCTTTACATGAGAGCCCCATTGGAGCTTAGGGTCGTAGTATATACCAAGGACTCGAAGAGACGACTGTGGAGACGTCAGATGACCTCGTATGCTGACAGTTACTTCAAGGTTTTGTCGCTTCCTATTGGAAATATCGCATAATTGAATGGGCGTAATATTTGTAGAACGAAAGTAGAAATTGACTAAAATAGTGTCATGTTCGGATTACAGCTAAAACTGTGGGAAGTGTGCACCACAAATGCAAGTGTAAGCGACGCAGAGCCTAAGCCACAGCTAAACAAGGGTGGCGCTACCTTGTTGTGGTTATGAGCTATGCGGAAGTCACATTGCGGAGTGATGAGGAGTGGATGATGTTATAATTTGTGGTTGACAGTGAGTAGCCTCATACAATACTATGCTGTAGGTATATGGACAGAAAGTATAAAACTAAACCTGTGTCCATTTATTGTGGGTACATCTATAAAACTATATACATGCTCGCCTAACCAGTACACTAGTGATGTATACTGTGGCCTTGAGCCACACGCGATGCCCTAGCCTCGACTACCTCGTTGTCTCAGATCATAACATACCTAGGCATAGAAAACCCCCATTAACCCCCTTGTGCCCACGCCATACAGCCGCTCATGTCTCCAATAGGGAGCCTGAAGCGCAACCATATAACCCGTTCCAATCTCTTAAATACACTCAAGATCGTGTCGGGAACCTAGACAAAATTGAGGGTCCGTACATTTACATTACTCTGTGTCTGCATTTCCAACACTTCCTTGCTCGTGTGAAACGCATGAGCTGGTACTTCTCTGGCGCAAACTTTACGCCGTTCTTTTCTGCCCACGACTCGCAAATCACGTGCCGTTCCTCTAACTCCTTGCAGTTTTCTTCGGTTGTACCAAAAGGTCGTAGAAGGAGATTCATAAGCTCTCCTAGGGGTATCAGTGGTTATTTTAGTAGTCAATTGCTGGGAAGAATAGGACACGGCGCAGGGCACTTTTGTTTGGACACACTGTATTATTTTCTTATGTTTATCTCTTATGGTTTCTTTGGCAAGTAAAGCCATGCACGTAGGTGGTAGTGAGTCTTTATAGATCACATACCCGTGTCATGCCTATTGGGTGTAGGGAACATGCCTGATACGGATAGCAATTAAACTCAAACTCTCCGGTTGTACCTGACCATGTTAGTAGGTTAATATCCTCAACGAATCCAACTGCCGAAGTAGAAGAAGTTTGAAGTATCGGCAAGAGCGTGCCGGAAAAGAAGAGGAAAAGAATCGGTGAAAGTGATGAGCCTTGTGGTATTCTTGTACTGGTGGGGATACGTTTTCCTATGTAAGACCCGAGATTTACCGAGGTAGTTCTTACTTCGAGAAATGATTCTACGAATCGACTGCTCCACCTTGGAATATCTTTTACTCTCAGGTTGTGTATTAGCTTTTCGTGGGAGACGTTGTCAAAGGCTCCTGATATGTCGAGGCTGAGAAGTGAAGCGACCTGGTTTTTATCTCTACCTCAGATGTTATGAATCTGTTCCGTTAGAAGCTCTACTGGCGAGATCACGGACCTATTTGGTCGAGCACCCATCTATTCATCTGGAAGGAGATAAAAGTCTTTGGCAGCCTTTGAGATCCGGTTGTTTCTATTTTTATTATAATTAACTCTCTTTCTTGGAGGACTATTCTCAACACCTGTCAGCGGTGTCCCCTGCGAACCTCCAGCTCTCACTGTAGAGTCTGCAGAGCCGAGATTGAGTAACAAAGTCCTCACTTCGAAGAGGATTCCCAATCGCTTTCGCGGTCTGTATCGTCTTCATCTCTCAACACATTCCCCTATCACCATTATCATGAAGCTAACCACCATCAGATCAGATGGTAGGGTCGGAGCCCTACTCGTCACCCACCCTTGATCATGGAGGAAAAGCCATCCGATGAGTTTGCGGAGCGTACCCAGCACCCGATACGGAGATGGTGGATTGGATCAAGTCGGCCTCGACTGTTACAAAGAAGGGAGATACAGATGAATATGCGCACCTCATGTGGTCCCGGTGTCTAGGCCTCGCCTGGCTGGGGCAGCAGGTTTTTTGAGACTTTTTCCCGCGCACGCAGTTTCCATTGCTACCATTTTTATTTTTTTTTGGGTAGAAGGTTCCGTGGAAAAGGTGGCTGAATTCCACGGGTAAATACTGAGCTGAATGGCTATTCATCAAGGGGAATATATCAATGATCTTTGAAGTAACAAAGAGAATAGGAGCACTGTACAAGGTGTGGCCTGGGTCAGAGAGGAGCCCAATGTGCTAGATAGTCATAGACTCAAGTAGCACAATAAACACAAACACACACACTCTCTTTCTTAGTATATTAATAAATTTGATAAGTCCTCTCTGCATATGTGCTAGTAGTGTTTGTCATGGTAGATATGGCTTTCGCTAAGGGTTGGATGGTGCAGTGGTGCACCATTCCGGCCGTTCTCCCAAGTAGAATCTGGGTAGCTTGAACACCTACCCCCATTTGAGATATGAGAAAGCTGGTTCGAATCCAGTAAACCCACGCACCACACTCTCTCGCGGTGTTATTGTATTTGTGGGATGATGAAAGCACACTCAGATAGCCACAGGGTTTTCACGTTTTCCCTGTGGTGGGTATGCACGGAAGAGGTTATACGCCGTAAGGGTTAACCTCAAGTGGTGTCTGCAAATAAACCTGAGTGAGAGTGTTTTAAACCTAAAATCGAGTCATTCTGGTTAAAGTAAATATCTTTCGATAGAACCTGCGTGGGCCTCAAGGCGCCAAATCAGGAGATTTGGATTATTTTTTATTTTTTATGGTCCTCGATTATGACCTGACCTATAAGTCATAAGACGCACATTGATCCTGCTTGGTTATGTTATTGATGCTAGCGTAGGAATTAAGTATAAGTAATTAAGTAGTTGCTCTAGGAAAGATTGTGCAAGGTTTTATTAATATATTCCTACCCATACTTCATCCTCACGTATCTCCGATCTACTTGTGACTCCATTCCACTAAGACCCACCCGTGATAGTGTTCGTATTTCAGGTCATATGTCTCTTTTTTTTGCATCGGATTTTCATTGCGTATGTAGCTATCTAGCTATAGCACAGCATCAAAGAAATGTACATAGTAGGTGATTCAACGTAAAGGATGAGCACTCATGCCTTAGATTTCATTTGCAAGTACAACTGCGAAGTTAAGGTGACTTTTTCTTCAGCCCAAGTCAACTCTCATCCGTGATTACCCACCTTGGGGAACGTCTCAAAAACTCTGAGTTATCCAGACATGCCTTCATCATCTTTCAAATTTTCTCCGCGCGAAATATGGTCTTAGACGTCTCCTCCCCAAGTGGAGTAGGTGCCCAGGCTACTCAGACCATACCAGAGAACACCACCAAGCCAGCTTACTTAGGTGTAGGAACGCATAGTTTGCCTCATTGACCAAACTAACTTATTAATTTTAGGGTATTCTGCATGAAGACAATGCAAGGACAGCCGAGGTATTAGACATTGACATCAATATTGATGCATGACGTAATGGGACCCACACAATGATCAAATGAAGAGAGTGGCTCATTTTACTATATGAATGTTTTTCCCCCTAAACCGACGTAACTTTCGAATTATCTGGCATAAATAGTAGATCAAATTGATATGTTGTCCGTCATGTTGTCAGTCTGTTGTAGGGCTGGTTACCAAAGTCTTTCTCCCGTAGATTACTGCGCAAACGGAAATTTATGATTTACACACCACATAGTATATTCTGTCCGTAGTGATAATAATTCACAGATAAATCCATAATGTTGTTGTAGAATGAAAGTACGACACAGTCATCAAGACCAATAGATTCTGGCATGAATTAGGCACGAGAGTCTAATCATCAGCTTAATTTTCGGCCATAAAACGCTCACTCACGGAATTTGATCGCCTGTAAAATAGTACTCAACCTCGTGAATTTAACCAAGTAAACTAAGTGATGTGGCCGAAGTCATTCATGAGATGTTGCAGATGTTAATTGGTCAATGCGCCAGGGCGTGAGATGAGCCCGCATAATTCGTAAGCGGGTGATACCCATACCCTGTCATTTAAACTATCTAAGATGAATCGAGGGAAATGTAGTGAGATTTCATGGAAATTTCCATTTATAATCGGGTGATTGTGAAGAGGCCAATTCAGAAGGCGATCGAAGCTTCGGTGACGCGAGGTAGTAGCTGGGGCCGCTACTTTCGAATGCTTGGATTAGAGTCAAAGAGAATCTCATAATAGATGCCGGGGATAATGGAGACTGAGGCCAACATCACGTATAATGACGAATCCTGAAACTCAAATTACTCAAGTTATGGGGCATAGAAAGGATGTGCTGTGTACGCCTGGATAATGCTTTTTGGGGGCGATGTAGCTAATCCTCGGATGAGGTATTGTGCAGAAATTTGTGCATCTATAAGTATGTAACGAATAACGACAGAGAGTAATTGTAGGAGTCTTTAGACAGTGAAAATGCTATGAGCAAAGATATTATTGTTGTACGCAACTTTTAAATTCTGCCCTGGTGTTGCCCACCTCGGCCCTATTCAGCGGTGGATAATTACAGAAATAATTGCTAAGATCAAACCCTCATCGGTATGTGACCCTCTATCTTCAGGCAGATCAGCTATCAATTGCAATTTTGATAGTCTAGTCACATTTTTCTACCCGACCCTAAGCTTTATTCTGTTTGCTATCAAGCAGGCCACGTCAAATGACACGGCTGGGGAAACAAAGCAACCGGCAAAAGAACGCCTTAGACTCCCATGATAATTATAATAATAAATACCACAACAGCAGCCCCTCAACTGCTTGCGTAACGCACAGAGAGGATTCAGCTATCGATAGCCCAACGACATCTGTTTACCCTGAATCTAGCCCCAGTCACAATCGACAAAACATCGAGTTGTCGAGTAGCTTTACATCTACAGTGAGTCGTTCACTGTCCACTCGGTACCCTGGCCCCTATCTCTTGCAAAGTTTCTCTTCTAATCAGATACCTGTGGTTTATCAAAGGCATCATCGCCACGCTTCACAGAATCTACATTCGTCCGCTCGGGGAAAAAAGAACAAACGCCTTTTTGATCGCATGCGATCAAGCTCACATCGAAGTTCGACAGAATCAAAATCCTCCGCCTCAACTTCCTGCCAAGGTAGCAACTACCACAGTAATTACGACGCTGACGGACTTGCTCGTCGTGCATCCACGAGAGAAAATATCTCGGACATTGGTATCACTAAACCAACCGCTGCTGTCTTTCAAGCACCAAGAATATATCTAGAGCCGCTGCAGATTCCAAAGTTATCTTTTTCATTGCCACATAAAGCTGTTGAGGCTGACATTGAATTTGAACTCTGTAGCCAACAAGAAATAGCTAGTCCTATTTCGTCACAACATCAGCCTACACCACCTATTGTAACAAAACCCCGTCCCACCGTCTATCAATCCCTTCAAGAGGAGCAGTGTCAACAGCTGCAAGATAGAATACTACATGAACACCTGGAGTCGCCACATCATAAACCTGGAAATTTTTACCATAATTCCAGCATTGCTGACAACCCTCTTGAACCTTTGTGTGTAGCAGAATTTGATAAAAGCTCCAAGCTCGATTTAATTCATTCTAGTCCTACAAAACTTTTGGAAGATCCGTACAGACCCGCTACTGTAAGAGAAGTTAGTTCTGACTACAATAATCAAGTATTTTATAACTCTAGCTTGTCTAAAACTCAAGTTGCGCAACCCGACAAGCCATATATGGCACCGTCGGGAGCAACGGTTGCTTGTCGAAGAATGACGGACACAAAAGTTACCGTGCAAACGCAGCAAGAAGGTAGAGAAGGGATGCCAAGTTACAATAAAAGTCAGTTCTCAAACCAATCCCCTACTCCAGAGCTGAGCCTATATCAAGGCACTCAAGGCCAATCTTATCGAGGGATCTCTCAAAGAGATCAGCTCGTTACCCAAAATGAACAGGGTCGTCACACACCCCCACTTCCACCTGCTGAGCGAGATGTAAACGATAATTATAAAGAGCTCGGTGAGTCTTAAAATAGAAGAATATCGTTGAATTACTCACGCTGTACTAGTAACTAAATATAAAAAAGTCAAGGGTCTCTACTTTGAAAAAACAGCACAAGTTGAGCAGTTACAAAATACTCTTGCAAACCAGCGTCTCTCGCAATCACGGACTTCCCTAGATGATAGCGAATATATGACTCGATTCCAACGATTAGAAGGTGCTATAACAAACCTAGCGTTCAACATCCGCAAAGACTGGCGGACCCTACCAGCTTGGCTCTCGCAATACGTGAATAGTGACGCCCTGAAGATTGGAAAACAAGAAATGACTGCTGTTGGTAGAGCGATAATTACCAAGTTTCTGGCTGACGAAATATTTAATGTCACTTTTCATCCTGCTCTTCCAACCGAACTTAGCAGCAACTTGAAGTTTATCGAACGAAATATTCGCAGATTCTCTCCTCCTCCAAATAGTCAAGAAGAGACTGAAGCACTCACTGCCAAGCTGATACAATGGCGCCTAACCACTCTCGATGGTCTCAAGGACGTCTTTTCATCACCAGAGAGTGAGGATAACAAGAACAACTTTACTGAAACAGTTACATCTAACCTTGCATCACTAATTACAAGTCTTCTTCAAGAGCCCATTCCACCAGGTGTTGAAGATTCGGCTCACATGATTGTCGAATTGTCAATCGGAATAGCTTCTAATCTACCACTTGAAAGTCGAGAGATATCTATCACTTACCCAATGCCAGGTGATCCATTTCAACCAATTCTTATGAAACTAGAGAATCCGATTCCCCCCTTGATCGATCCTAGATTTGAGACCAAAGAAAACGAGACTACTTGCGACACTGCAAAGGATGAAGTCGGAAAGGAAAAGAAAGGAAATAATGTACTACAAGCCTATGCAAGTCCGAATTCAAGTGGAAAGAGAGAAGGTGGAGGCGATCCCAAGAAAGCTGATGACGGAGCTCAGAAAATTCGATTTGCAGGATTTCTAGGAGTAGAGGTTCGGGGTCGACAAGTCTTACTGAAGGCACCTGTATGGTCACTGAATTGAACTAAATCTTCTATTATCATTCAGTCCGAAAAATAAACAGTGGTTTACAATTTGAACTTGTATTCCAAAGGATTGTTTGATATAACACACTAAATTTACGTGTGATTATAATATTTGTAGTATATTTCTAGCTATTGGGTCTTGGATATGGAGAAAGTAGATAATTCTCAACGCTTTTTTCAATTACAAGTTACTGCTAGTCCTGGATTTCATTTCAAGAGAGCGTGCGCGCTAAAGCACTGCGAAATTTACGATGGGGATTTTCGTATGGATCAGGCTGATACCTTGCGCCGTGTAGGGTTGTTGAGAGCTTTGTGATGTAAAAGCAAGCGCGAAGATTTAAAGATTAAGAGGGGTCTAGAACTGGCAAGGAAGGATACCTGATTTGGCAAGAGATGATCATTGAATGTAAACTGCGGGGCCAGGTTCAGACGATCGATGGGTGATATTTGCACGTGATAGACGTGCTGCGTCATGTGTTTCATTCATTCGCTCAGCGCCATCCAAGGCACTCCATGGTTGCTTTAGCGTCTGATTTACTCATACCGCTGACGCCTAGGGCGCGTACCTGAGTTCCGTGGCGTAGGCGTTGTAAACCAGCGGCAAGTTTCCAGCTCTCAGTCTCGCCAACAATGAAGACGTACTTTTTACCAACTTGGTCTCGAATGCTAGCTCGCAAGATATGCAGGCCACTAAGCGCAAGTTCGCTCGTGTGGCGAACGCGCATCGAGTCGCCTAGACCTAAGTCGGGCTCGGTTAGATTGGTAGCTCCACGCGGCTGGCACGTGCTTTTGCAGCGAGAAAGCATCTCGGATAGTAGGGCATCGGTCTCTTCTGACGTTGCCGGCTTGTCCTTATCCAGGCCCCAGAGACGCCGCGAATAGTTCGGCTTCTTGGCTTTTGGGTCGGAAGGAGGGGCGCGCGTTGCTGCTGAAGTCTGACAGGAGGGGCACCAGACTTCAACGAGCTTCATGGTCCATGCCTTCACGTCCCATTCTCGTTGAGGCACACCCCGGACATCGTCGTCGATGAAGAGGCCCTCGGTCGTAATACGAAGTATTAGACCATCGGTGACGGAGCCAATGGTCGAGACTAATTGAGAGGTAGGGGTTTTCGTAAAGGCGTTGTTGAATAAGTAGACAGCCTTGATGATAATCTTCTTTGGGTCTGTCGTGCTGTAGGGGCCGCGATGAGATGGAGGCGGGGTAGTTCTCGACGTAGATTGGGAGGGCGCGTATGAGGATTTGGACCGAAGCGAGGATACCGAACTTTTTCGCTGTGGCCCGGTTCCTTGATCGTAAGACCGATAAGTTTTATGGGTGTCACTGCCGGGGTTGTGGGCGGCAGGGGTTGGCGCTGGCCGAGCCGAAGCTGGCGTAGGGGTGGGGATTTTGGGTGAAGCAGGAATATTAGACGGTGTTGCTGTCGCATTTGCTGCTGAAGCCGACTCGCCTGGAGTTGCAGGACGACCTTTGGGCCATGGATTCGTCTTTTCCCCCGCACTGAAGGCGTAAGTTGTCGGCGGCTTCGGCTTTGGCTTGATTGCAGCCTCTAGTTTCCTTTTGGCATCTTCTTCCAATTTCTTTTTTGCTTCACTCTCAAGTTCCTTTTTGATCTCCTCGAAACGCTTCTTCGTTACATCGTCTTCTTGTCTCTTCTTGGCTTCCTGCTCCCGTTTCTTTTTTGCCTCTATCTCGCGTTTCTTCCTTAATTCTTCCTCGTACTTCTTCCTTGCCTCCTCTCGTTTCTTAATTAAGTCTTCTTCAAGTTTCCTCCTTGCCTCTTCTTCTCGTTTCATCTTTGCTTCCTCTTCTTTCTTTTTCTTTGTTTCCTCCTCTCGCTTTCTCCTGGCTTCCTCTTCTAATTTCTTTTGAGCTTCTTCTTCTGTTTTTCTTCTAGCTTCATCCTCACGTCTTTTCTTTGCTTCCGCTTCAAATTTTAGCCTAGCTTCCTCGCGTTTTTTTTTGGCCTCCTCTTCTTGCCTCTTTCTATTGTCTTCTTCGCGTCTTCTTTTAGCTCCTTCTATCCACCTCCTAGCTTCTTCTTCCCGCTTCTTCCTAATTTCCTCGGCTAATTTTCTTTTCTCCTCCTCTTCTCGTTTCCGCTGGATTTCCTCCTCCTCTTGTCTAGCTCTTTCTTCTTCCTCTCGCTGCTTTCTGGCCTGTGCTTCTCGCCTCTTTTTTGCTTCTTCTTCTAACCTCTTTATAGCTGCTTCCCGTCTTCGTTTCGCCTCCTCTTCTCGTAGCTTCGCCGCCTCTTCTTCTTTCTTTTTGTTTATTTCCTCTTGAAGTTTCTGCCTTGCCATTTCTTCTTCCTTTTTCATTACCTCTTCTTCCAATTTTCTTGTAGCTTCTTCGAGTTTTTTCCTTGCTTCTTCCAAATTTCTAGAAGCCTCTTCTTCAGCTTTCATTTTTTTTGCTCGAGCTTCGAATTCTCTACGCCTTCTTCGTTTTTCCTCTTCATCCCTGCGGGCTTTTTCAGCAACAGCTGCAGCCAAGGCTTCTTCTTCCCTCCTCTTTGCTTCGCGCTCTTCCCGTAATTTGGCCTCGAGCTCTCTTTTCTTGGCAGCTAGAGCTTCTTCAGCGCGATATCGAGCTTCGCGTTCTTCTTGCTCTTTCAGGAATCTCGCACGCGCTGCCTTCTCTACTTCTTCACGTAATTTCTGCTCTCTAGCTGTTCGTTCACGTATTTCTTTCTCTCGTAGGTCTCGTAATCTTTTCTCGAGCTCTTCTTTTCTCTTTCGTGATTCTTCGTTCTTTTGTCGTTCTTCACACTTTCTCCGTTCTTCTTCTTTTTTTATTTGGTCCTGTTTAAGTTTTTCTTCTGCTGCTTTGGCAGCACTAACTGCATCATCTTCTTCGGTATTATCTTCCTGCTGTCTATTTGCCGAATTTCCCCGTTCATAGTGATTGGAGCTTGTGGAATCATTACTGGAAGGAGGTCCTCTATGATGTCTGGATGTGTTACTATAGTCTTGAAATTTGGACGAGTGATTTGATGAATATGAACCAGTATTTGAGTTTGGCCCATTTGATCCATTTGATCCAGAGCTTTCATTTTTGCTAGAATTTCCCCGTCTTGTCTTCCCTGATTGCATTCGTCCCAAAGCCCAGGCTCCGAGTGCCACAGCCAGTACCAGTAAAACTATGCCAGAACTGCCAGTTGCCATGATGCTGCTCCACCATACCTGTAACATTGGAGATAATAACGAGCCAGCAATGCTGATAATGAGAGCACATGCAAAGCCAGCAAGGAAACTATTCATGGTTGGTCTGAGCGATGGCAAATATAAAAACCCGGATCCTAGTGAAAGCTTTGGAACTACAAAGACGTCGTAATTTCCTGGAGGTAGGCTACCTGAGGTATTCTTCGGATTTTTACCGTGTGGAGGTGTTGGAGGCGGCGTAAAGCTCATCGTTTGAAACCGATCAGATTTGTCGGGACTTTACCGGCTTCAAGCCGATAAGTTAAAAGTTGTGCGCAGTCAATTATCCTGAGCCAATTTTGTATGTAGCGACTAATCTTGATTATGTTATTCTGACGCGATGGTGATGTGGAAACTTTGATGATTGATTTAATTGAGAGTCCTAAACGATGGTCGTCAGTATAGCGATCTCGTGAAACTTCACATAAGGGCATGGTTAGTTGTGTTAGTTTTGGATAATAATCACCATCTCATGCAACACATCTAGTTGTGAGATTATCAGCTGTCAGGAGTGCGTGGTTGTCGAACATGTCGTGCCCAGCTGCCCGCAAATAGCAGCTCGGGTGTATAAAGTTGCCATATTTCTTTATTTATGAAATTGCTTCACCGTTGCTTTGGAGACGTAGAATTTTGTGACAGGGAATATCATGATCGTGCTTTCGGGCTTCCCCGATCCTTGTCGTGCTTTGCCTAGCCGACAGGGCTGTCCCATCTACCGTCTTTGTCCCTCGTGCCGCACTAGCCCTGTTGGACGTACCCTCATTAACATACCCAAAATCAGGACTGATGACGATTAAGTAGAATGTAGAGATAAATTTTCGAGAAGCATGGCCCAGATGAACTCAAACATCAGGCCATCAAAAAACAAGACTTAACGAACACCTGTTCCACAGGCTTGTACGACAGATAGTTTACTGCGAGTTGTGACCGAAACCCCGCTACTATGTTGTGCAAGACCAGAGAGGGTTGCCAATATTTAGGGCGAGAAACCTCTTTGACGTGCCAAGATGAGGCTCACAATGATCGCTGCTTGAGATTAAAGCTGGAAAATATGGGTCGCATTTAGCCCTGCTATTTTTTCTCCTGCCAAAAATTCAGCTGAACTTGGGATACGTTGAGAGTATCCAAGGCTCATCGGCTGGATGGATTATATTTAGCCAAATTGGGTGCAGTGATGAAGTACTGTGAATTAGCTGGTTGAACGCACGGTCCACTTTGATTAGAGATATCCTCGCGGTACCGTTGCACGAGGAAAGATCAAGTTATTTCTACTGAGTCTGATATCCGTAAATTTTCTTCACCTGCTATAGGGCAGATTCCCAAGTTTCCTTGTAGAACTCGATGACTAATGTGTCACGGGTTTACCTAATGTCCTACATAGTTATAAACTCAAAAAGAACATTCATTGGCTAAATAAATAATACGGGTTTACCCGCTATCAGTTGTCTGGACTGACCTGCGTGCCCTGCCTCGCACAGAGCAAGATCCTTTGAGAATGTTTACATAAGTTATCGTCAGGGCACAACTTGTGTTGGCACAATCCAGATCCAAGCAAAAAGTAATATCTGTAATTTCTGTGTCCTTAATTTAAGGCTCAAAGAAAGAAGGAACTCTCAGGCATCGTGCCCCGAAGCCTAGGTTTGCCGTGTAATATCCAGAACGGGAGAGAAAAGCTGCTAAATTTTTATATATCAAGTAATTGCATTAACTCACCAAAAAGAGATGGTAAAATTTTTTGCCGGAAAACCACAGGAAGGTGGTCCTAGAATGGAGAAATATAATTATCACATTCAAGTTTAAATGAAACATAGAATTATGGAGTATATAGTACCTATTACGGGTCAAATTCGATTTAGAAGATAAGCCTCCACACAAATATCATATCTTCAAAAGTGCATACTATTGTAATAACGAGGTTATGAGAAGTCTAAGAGCTGTCGCAATATATGTAACAGTCAACGTGAGGGGATATAGAATAGCACCTAAAGTCTAACGTGAAGACGGATATGGATTGTACGTCCGCCATATCGATAACTACTGTTGGAATACTTCCGATGGTCAATTCACAAGCTAGTAAGGATTAAAGGATGAAAATTTATTCGTGACGGGCACAATTCCTGCACTCAAAGAGCGTGACACGGAGAAGGCTAGTCCTTCCCTGACGTCTTTATTTGAAGATAACTTAGTTTGATATTTAGACTACTCCTATAGTGGGTGCATTCGCTGATACCACTCAAGGTCTTCGTGCTGGGGACTTTCACCCTTTCCTCAATCATTAATATCGACCAAAGCGAAAACAGAAAAGACCTTAAGCTATCCTATCATGCCTTTGCCATCTTGTAAGTAGCCACCGCATGAGATATGACCTCACAGTCTTCCCTTTCTCGAGTGAGGTAGGCGTCAAGGCTACCCAGACTTTAATTCGGGGAGATGACGACCAGGAGGCGGACCAAAACACCTTCTATCGTTGCCTATTTTAGAGCGTCAGTTGCACCATCCTAAATCTAAATCTCTGCGCCCAGAAGTAACCCAAAGTCAAGAACACTCGAATGTATGAGTCCCAGCATGTCCATTTGTGACCTCTTCCCTCGATCTTCTCAGGTCCCGGCTGCCAGCTCTCCCTCAGGATTTAAAGCACCATCAGAGCAACGGTCCCTTATAGACCAAGACCCGAGCTTTGTATATTATGGCTTAATTTCTTCCTCGCCGGTTACCACAAAATCGTATCTTTGTAGAGAGAGTTGGCCGATTTTTGGTGAAGAAATTTCCCGATTGCAATTGGAGTGAAGCCATTATCGGTAGTTGAGGCGAGGTGGTATAGTAAGATTGAGGTTGAGGATTCACTTGAGAATGATAGGTGCAATATACACGAGAAATCGTCGATTTAAGATATGCTAGGGGTTGCTTTCGACTTCGATTCGGATGCGATTCTCCTTGGCTTTCCCAGATATGCAGAGCATCCCAAGCGATTACACCGGGACCATTGGAAGTTGAACAACTGGTCATTCACAGCTGATTCGAAGAAGTAAGATTTTCTTTTAGGTCTGTGTTTTTGATGGGCGCGCAAGAGAGCACGTGCCCCACATTTCCTTTTGGAACACAGGACGTTAGAACCACAGCTCTAAAGAATCTGGCGGAGGGCAAGACTGAACACCTGTACGCGGTGTCCTCTACGAACCTGGGAGTGAAATATTCTCCCAGAGCCAAGTTCAGTCAAATTTCGCAATATCAAAGAAGTTGGCCCACGAGGCAAAATTTCAAATTACTACACCACGTCAATCTTTCATTCCCAAAGAGTCCGATTCTCGACTAAGCTTCATCAAGTCTACAAGTACGACATAGTACATCCTCACCCCAATGATCACACCTCTAGTCGACTTTCTCTGGCCTTAGTTGACCGCCAAATACACGCCCACGCCGATATTTATACCCGACGGAGGAAGCAAAGTGTGGCGCACAAATCTGGGAGATAGTTCTTTGGGATGGACGTGAGAGGGATCAGGACAAGTTTACGAGATGATGCAAAAGAGGGATACATTCTCGACGGGCGTGAAATTTTGAATTTTGGCAAGAGTTTTACGAATTGAGCTTTGTGCGCGCCAAGACTTCGCTTGCGAGAGTGCAGCTGACACTATAAAAACAAGCAAACGATGGAAGGTGTTGTGGTCCGCCTCCTGGTGATGTTCTCTGGTATGGTTTGAGTAGCCTGGGCACCTACTCCACTTGGGAAGGAGACATCTCAGATTACATTTCGCGCGGAGAAAAGTTGATGGATGACGGAGGCATGTCTGGATAACTCAGGGTTTTTGAGACGTTCCCCCGGGTGGGTATTCACGGATGAGGGTTGACTTGGGGTGAAGAAAAAGCCACCATAACTTCGCAGTGGTACTTGCAAATGAAATCCGAGGCATGAGTGCTCCTCTTGTAAATTGAGTCATCTTTTCTGTACTTTTCTTTGATATTGTGTCATAGCTAGATAGCTGCATACGCAATTAAAATCTGATGCAAAAAAAAAAAAAAAAAAAAAAAAAAAAAGAATCTGGCGCGTCTTTTGTCTCAGTAGGGACTTAATAGGGTTACTCGCTTGACGCGTGATCCGCCAGACGTTAAATAAAGATAAATAAAATAAAAAAAGAATCTGGCTATGGATCCAAAATAAACTTGTTGTGTGGCGTAGTTTGAAACTGCCCAGATATTTCTGATAAAGCACTTGCCGTTCTGAAAGTAGTAGACCATCCCCTTCTCATAGCTGTTCATTATTAGGCCCACTCACCCGCCCCTTCCTGGAGCGTCAATCAAAACAAAGAAAGGAACTATGCAGCTTTTCCTGACAACTTCTGTATAATCTGTAAATCATGTGACATTTTCTATATAAATATATGTTGAAAAGAAGCACCCTACAATGTAATTATCACCGACAGAGTACTAGTGTGCAAGGGAAGCAAGAAGGTAGGTTCAATAGGGTTTGCTTAACTAGCCTTAGAATCTAACGGGAGTAAGTCCTCTAAAAGTACCACACTCAATCTCGCTCCGACTCGATCAACATAGCTAGCCTGGTACAGCATCTAGAGTGTGTTATCCCTGCGACGCACTGACACATTTACAATAATATATCTTTTGCTTCCAATCAATTCTCTAAACACAAGTTCTCATGACAATCAACCTGTTTTAACAACTCACGTTCTATCAACTTAGCTTTATAAGCCGAACTTTTAAGTCGCTACATCCCGAAATGAATTAGTTCCAAGATATTTTCCTCCACCTTGCCCAGAACCCGATAAAATATAAAATCGACCGATATACTAGAGATTGTAAGAACGAAGAACATAAAACTGGTAAAGTCCCAACCTAGATACTGCAAATCGCACTAACAGAATAGCCTTTTCTAACATGTTTGTCCAGTTATAATTTCACACCAGGTATATCGGCACCGATAGGAGTTTGAGGGTACTGAGCAAACTTTTCGAAGATGTCTCGACAAGGATCAAAAAAGAAGAGCTTCCATTCTCCATATTCAATCCAATGATTGAAGCAATTGAATCAAATTCGGAAGAACAATTTATCTTGAAAATAGCTATTGAAATTACCGTAGCAAATCCACCTGAACCAACTCAAACCCGACCTAGTAATCCCTTACTGTCGCTGAAGCCATCCCACATAAACCCCTTGTAAAGTATTTCGGAATTTAAAGGTTATGATCAGAACATCGCTTCTCTTACTGTCGAGTTTAGAAATTAACTCCAAGACAACGTCACCACCGACATCAAGAACATGTGGACAGTATTCTTTGAAGGGAAGAAGTGGTCTTCTCAAACAAAGCGTATTTGGGAATCTTATAAAGAGTATGATAAAAGCCTGAAACAAAAATGCTTCGAAGCAAAGATCAAATATGGAGTTGGTTGAAAATGTTCAAGGAGAAGTTTTTGAAAGTGATTCCAGTCTCTGGGACGAGACCAACTACTGAAGTGTCTGCTGTCAGGAGTAAGAGTAAATATTATCCACTGAAAGGGTATTATTGTCGTACAGTCGGACCAGGACACTTGACTGGGTAGGAAAGCTCGTGGAAGCTCGATTTCCTGATAGAGAGTTTTGTCCTACCTCTCGATGCGATAACTGACTGGAATGATATCGGCGTGATCGGTGAATTGAGTGATGAACCTGTTGAAAATGCAAGGAAAAAAAAGATTGGACAACTTACCAGATACGCGAGAGAAATATTCTATTCACAGCCGCTGCGTCGATTTCTCCATGGATTCTACTTGTATCAAACAGACCTTGAACTGTGGTTGTTTGATCGCTCGGGCGCATGTAGCACGGGCATCATAAGCATCAGAGATAGCCAAGAGTACTTGGTGCGAACAATCTCCTCCTATCTGCTCATGAGCAGGGATGAGCTTGGGTTTGATAAAACCATTATGTAAAAAAATGGAGTGTTATTTGTCCAGGTAAAGAAAGAGGGTTCCAAAAGCTCGAAAAAATCTAAAATTAACCCTGTGCCCATTATCCGAACGAAGACATTTGTGAATCGCGGCACTACTTGCTTTGAGACGACAAACGAGCTCAACACAATCAAGTATTCAGGGAACAGGGACCCAGGGGACGCCGAAGTCAAAACTTTGAAAGAAGCAAAGGGGTTAGAGGGCGTCGTCGAATACGTCATGTCCGACAAGATCTAGTAGATCAAAAATCATGTTCAAAAACTAGATTTTTCGGATGCTGTAGAATGGAGCATGGCCGGTAAAAATAAGCACATCTCCAAGGGCTCTGTGCTCCAAAAACCAACACTACAACCATTCAAAATAGATCGACATCTCACTGGAGTTGTTATCACACCACGTGGCTATCCCCTAGATTGGAGTAGGACGATTCTTGAGCTTCTAGTCATAATAAGAGGCTTCATTGTGGCTCACCGGCGTCTTTACACTGAAAAAAGGATTCTTCACTGCAACGTCTCTGAGGGAAATATCGTTTTAGTAAGGCCAGATGGGGACAATAGCATACAAGGGATGTTGATTGACCTTGATCATGCTATGACACTCAATGATGATCCGAAAAAAGATGACAAAAGTTTATTGGCAGGGACTATGAAGTTCATGGCTCTCGAGAGATTACAATTTGCTGTAATAGATAAAATAGCAATTCAGTGCACGTATCGTCATGACCTAGAATCGTTCTTCTACGTGTTTCTCGTCGGGTGCATAGGGTTTGAACGCGAAGATGACGCGGTGGAAGTAATAAGATTGCAAAATTGGAGCTCCAATAATATATACCTCAATAATGGCATGAAACACACATGTGTGTCAGGATTCAGCAGTTACATTTTGGACATGTTCTCGACGAGTTACTTTGACTTGAAGGACTTAGCCATAAAGTTACGAAACATAGTGTTCGGGGAGTCTATACCGTAACTAGGCACACCCGATGGCCCGAATCCCATGTATGAAGGAATGATAGCGGCATTCAGCAACACAATAGAACAGATTAGAGATGAGATAAATCTACCAGAGCATGAACTTTCAGTTCATATTTGCTCGACCCTTGCTAATAAATTATTAATCTATTAGCAGGCCAAATTATAAATAGAGCAATAACTCTGAGATAATTTAAAAACATTTGTGGTATATTTATCACCGATTTTTAAATCAGCATTTACCTGGAATCACCCTTAACAGATGGAGAGTGAACAAACGGAGTTAAAGTTGATTGTAGGATGATATATTGATTAACAAAAACATGTCCGTCAGATAAGGAGCCAGGATAAAGAGGTATCCGCCCACTCGCCTTCTCAGCGTGACGCAGCCTGAAGTGCGCAACCCTCGGTAGAATTTCAAATATTACGCCAGGAATATCCTATGGAGGTCCCTGGCGCACCGTTGTGTTAGAAGTTGTCAAGGATTTCTAGGAGGAATTATCTCGAAAAATAAGTATACGATTTCGGACAAAAATTCTTAGATAGTTGTATAGGATATCTAACTCTCTTCTCAATATGAATTAATAGTATATAATGTTCCGTCTACTTATATTAACATACACAGATAAGTCTATCCTTTAATACAGATCTCCGAGGCTTTAGTGATCCCGAACTCCCAGAGATCTTGCAACAACCAGCCATTCAATATCGCAAGGTAGCATTTCCTAGCCACTATATTTCAGATACCACTCAACCTCATGTTGCCTAGCTAAGCTTAATCATATGCAGTCGATTCAATTTAATTGATCTTGATGATCTTACCTAGATATCTAAGTCTTCATACATATTAAGTCTAGATTTCCAACACGTGGGAGACTAAAGTACAGGGGGAACGGAATGCGGATAACAACCTGTTAGCACTGGAGATTGAAATAGCGATAAAGGTCAGAGTTCCAGGGCTCCAGATTAATCGAATTCGATGGCTATTTAACGGGAAAGAGCACGAATGGGCTAAGAAAAATGGGCACAAAATAGGCACTGTGGACCTAAGTCTATCATTTGAAGCTTTGCAAGATAAAATTGTTCGGACAGTAAAAGTATTGAACGCAGTGTTGTATTCGGCTCAGCTTTGGGCTCCTAGGGCATAAATGAAGAAATGTCATAATTGTAGCTAGCGGTGCCATACATAGGTATCATGCGAAAAGTCAGCGGGGTATGGTGGGTGCGATGGAAATCACCTGCCAAGGGACTATGCAAAGGAATGATTTCCAGCTGCAATTATGCCAAACCTTATCACTTATGGCAAAAGTCAGTTTGTCAGACCACGCAGGTCTACAACGCCGGTGTTCAAAGATCAAGGCAAGAAATACTTTAAAGAACTGCCGATGTTCGTAGGAAGAGGTTTTCCGATACAGCCAGAACCAGTTTGATAGACGTGGAGATAGAATGGAGTTTTGTTGTTTGTACCAAAAATAAACGAAGAATTGCAACGGCCTCTAGTATGGGCGGTGTCCTGCGAAGAGGACCTAGCTGACCGAAGAAACAAGCTACCAGCGGGTCTCTATCAGCAGCTCTCGTTGTAAAGCTTGGTCTACCAACTCCATTTATAGGCTCTGCGGCGCCTGTGGCTAGTCAATCTGGAGTGGTTAATAACACCCAGGCGTCACAGTGCTTTTAAATGTCTTCTCAATAGTACAATTCAACTGTGAGGCAAGCAACTATGGGGTTTTGTGACCGTTCATGGATATGTTAGATCCCAAAAAAACACCTTCTCATTGCAATTCAGGAACCTAAAATGCACAAGTCAACTCTGAGTATGTACAATACCAAGCCTAAACAACAAAGCAATTGATTTTTTAAATGATTAGTTTATTCTCGTTTAAAGCCCTATTCGGTATCTAATTTACAGAATCACGAGGTCGTTAAGCCGCTTTGCTTGGGCAAACAGCTATCAACAAACAAAACCCTATGTACTGCCACTCCGAACCGACCCAGCTTCTAACCGAGAACGTTTTTTTCATAAATTATATCACAAACTTTTAATGTAATTCATTCACTTCTCCTTCGATGAGATTTAAGATGGGAAAAGTTTGAAAAAGAGGTTATCTCCTCACACGGCCCAGATAATTGAAGTATTCGAAGAGTTGGCCCTGTTGATCGCGCTTCTGTCGGTATAATTAATGGTGTCGCCGGGGTGTCAACCTCGCATGAAAGCCTTGGCCCTCATTTAGGTCATTTAGCCTTCCTAATGGTGACCAAAGTAAATCCTTCATCAGTCGTTCGAACTATTCGCCTTGACTTCTTTCTTAGATTCTCACTCTTTATTTCCGCCGTTCTACATTATTTAAAGATTTTTGAAGTAACAAAAGAATATAGGAGCACTGAAAGGGTTTAGACTAAGTTAGGGAGGAGCTCAATGTGCTAGATAGTCATAGACTCAAGCAGCATAGTAAACCAAATACCCATTCTGGCCCAACAGTGCTGGAAGAGATGAATTTTTCAACTTCTGGCTGTATCTGTGTGATCGCTCAGTATGTTCTACAAATCTGGGACAGCCAAGGAGAATGGCTACCGAATCAAAATAGAAATCAAACTCATGTATATCCATAATCGACGACTTCCCATCAATATCGAACCTATCATTCTCAGGTGAGTCCTCTATCTCAACCTTGCTACACTTCTTCGCCTCAACTACCGATAATGGTGTTAATCCAATTACAATTGGGAATTTGCCTCATCAAAAACTGGCCATCTCTCACTACAAAGTTACGATTCTACGTATACTCGCGGGAAGGAAATTAAGTCACAATATACGAAGCTCGGGTCTTGGTCTATGGGAGGCTGTTGCTCTAATGGTGCTTTATATCTCGAAGAAGGACAGGCATTTGTGACGCTGGACGAACGAATGAAAAGGTCGCAAATGGGCATACTGGGACGCACATTTTTCGAGTGTTTTCGATTTTGGGATACTCGTGAGCGCGAAAGCTGCGATTTCGGATAGTGCCACTGATACTTTAAAAAAAGGCAACAAAGAAAGATATTTTGATCCACCTCCTAGTCTTCATCTCTTTGAATTAAAGTATAGGTAGCCTGGATACCTACTTCACTCGAGAAAGGGAGGATTGCGAGGCCATATCTCACACGGTGGCTATATACAAGACTACAAAGGTATGTGAGAGTAGCCAAAAAAAGTTATGTTTTCACTTTGATGTACGTTAACGTTTGAGGGAAGGGTGAAATTACCAATCACAAAGGTCTCGAGTGGTATCAGCGTATGTATCTACTATGTTACTATGTGTCCTTCATAGTCATAGACTCAGTAGGGACTTTAAATTCTATTCTATGTTACAATATGCGCTAATGATACTTGAGATCGCCGTCAACCAAAGCTAATCAAGTAATAAGTAATCATTGTAAATACTGACGAAAGATAGTCGGAAGATCCTGGTCCAAATTTGAGTTGCGGGGTAAGCGAAGTAGTCTAATTTATTAAGATAAAATTAAGGACCAAGAATGTAACGAGTAGTAAAAGATAGAGAATATCGGACTGTGAGGATATAAGATCATAAAATCATTTAATTGCTAAAATGCGAGATTAAAGATTGAAAGACAAGGAAGCTGGACATCTACTTCGTGGCAGCTCCAGCTTCCTTGAGTATAACCAAAGATTGTACCATAACTTAACTCAGGTCAGCACAAGATCCAGTTCTGACACCAACTCTAACCTCAATAAGCTCGATCCAAGCTTGCACTTTAACTTTGATCATCATTTAATTGTGACTGTCTCAATTTTTTCGAGGAACTTTACGCATAAACCCCAACTCAATAACTTCTCGCCATAGCACACTACATGAGTGGTCCAAATGTCAAAGTGAGTTATCATCGTACATATTCGTGGGGAAAAGACTAGCCTTCTCCGTATTATACTTTATGAGTGCTAGGTTAGCGCAAGTCACGAATAAAAATATATCTTCCTATCAGAAATTGCTATAATGAGGGCTATCAAGTAGGCCACGATGTTGACTTGAAGATAACCAAAAAACCTGTACCAATTTTACCTCGGTTGTTACTTGAATGAATGCGCTCTATAACCTTAATGACTGAAGAGTCATTATTTCCTTAAAGCTTTCTATTTATCTGGCCCAACGGCTTTGCGAGAAATGTTTTGGTTCCGGGATTTCTCCTTCATTTGATCATTCTATATCACGATTTTGTGGGTTTGTAGAGAGAAGAAAATACGACTAAGGCTCAAAACTTGCCTGCGGTGCCCTCTAGCAACCTGGGAGTGGAATATACCCCCAGAGCCAAGATTCTGTCAATTGATAACGATCTAATCGATCTAATCGGTTTTTTTCTAATTGACAGCTTTGTTACAAGGAGTAATGCCGAGATGATTTGTTCCTAACTCCTTGATTGTAGGGATTTCTCGACTACATAAATTACGAAGAAAATCATCAAGACCATTCAAGCCCATATTAGCTTAAGCTGATTGTTGCACTCTCCCTTGATACACCAAAAAAATTTGAAGACCCAATTGAATGCTAAACAAATGCCGCAACACGACCCTTCCAACACTGTTGTCAACGGAAATTTGTCGGAAGACACCAAACTTGGGTTTCTGAGTTTAAATATTCTATGAAGAAATTAAGGCCTACGAAAGAAGATGAGAGAGATGCTGAGCCGTGAAAGCTTTGTAAATGGTTAAGATTAAAGTTTCAAGATTGCAAGGTTATCGTGTGTGAGGTTGGTAGAGGTAGTTGACCTTTCATATTTCTTTCAAGTTTCTAATGTGCCGAGCAGTGGCTAGGTCTTACTTTAAATCTGCTGGGATTTTTGGGGAGCTGGCATGTCGGGTAGTCTTTCCAGATTAAGCTAATCGGAACTTGGCCCTGTAGCCTACAATTATGCGCATGCACGACACTAAATACTAAAAATAAATAAATATTTCACATTACGTTAAAATCATAATTTGGTGAAAAAGCGACAAAACGCCCCATA